AGCGGGGAGGGCACCCCGGGCGGCCGCTGACTGGTGACGCGTGGGGAGGACGGAGCTGGGGGGCATCAGGAAGTGGCTAAGGGGGACCCACCTTCGAGAGATGGATAGCTCGGAAGAAGTGCGGGGTGGGGGTGGGGGCCGCGGGGCGCGGGGGCCCAAGCTGTCCCAAATATTGATCCTCAAAGGCGAGTGGTTCCCAAACTATTCCGTGCCCAAATTCAAGAGCACCAGGTCAGACCACCCTTGGCTGGCCTGGAGGCGGTTCAAAACTCGCTCACTTCTAGAAACCACAGGACTCCTTGGAGGAAGAGATAGGTGGCCTACAGTGGCCAAGTTTAAACAAACTTTGTGTCACTTGAGAGCGACTTAATGCGAAAATGTTATCAGTCTTAAAACAATTTACACTGGGCAAAAGACAAAAAGTTTGGGCTGGATAATGAATCTGTTGGCAGCAATAAATACTTGTGCTGTCAATCTGGGGAGAATTACCCAGTTAGATGAATAGTCATGCACACAAATACAAACCTCTTCTTTAGAAGGTCGACTGAATACAGTTCAAGTAAAAACGGAGACCATTACAACTCCACCCCATCAGAGAAGCAACATTTCCCCATTAGGCGTTAGTGCTGCAACCTGAAAGGAGTTAATCATTAAGTGTGAACAAAATGCTATATAAATTATTTTTCAGAATGCACTAGTGGAGAAAAGAGATCATCGAAAAACATTTTGGTGAATATTTTTTTAAAAACCAACAAGTTAGCACAAGTACTGAGATAAAGCAATAAGCAAATTGAGGTCTTTAAAGCTACCCAGGCACTCTGTTTACGTTCTAAATATAAGGAAAACAGGTACCCAGTTGTGGAAGGCATAGGAAATGCTGGTCTCCTGGGAAAGGCAAGTTTTGGACACAAGTAAAATGTATCACTGTGGCAGCACTCAAGTCTCACCCACAAACCGGAAAGGTTAGTCAAAATCAAGGCAAGCAGCGACTCTTGGCACATGAGAACCTGAGCCTTGAGCAAAAGAAAGAGCATGTGATAATAAAACACCACCAGGAGCAAGACAGTGAATGTGAGCTACTGTTTATTAAAAAGCCCAAATGGCACTACACGTTTAACAGTGGAAACATGGAAGAGGATATCTTAATGGGAGCGTAAGACTATAACCGATAAGGAAATACATAAATATAGCAAAACGCAACACTGTTGCCTGATTTGACTGGGGATAAGAATACTTAAAGGGAAAAAAATGGATTTTTAAAACTATTTTGAAAATCACAGGTAAGTGCTCTATAATGGCAATTATCGAATTTGGGATTAATAGTTGGTTCAAACTGGCAATGCCTACTATGTTATCCTGAACCTCACCTTGTTTTCAGTAGGTGCTGTGCATTCAATTATCTGGCTGTAGGAAATTACCAACAATAGTAAAACAAAAACCAGAGAAACGTGTCCATGCAACAAGTTGAGTGTTTAGAAAGAGGAGGAAAGGAAGGTAGCTAAGTTCATACTTTGGCAAAACACATTTTGAGCAAGAGAAAAGAACACGGAAAAAAAAAGTTTCAGAAGATAACACTACCAAGACACTGAAGTACAATATTGTAAATATGCTTATTCCATCGCTTAGACAACTAAGTCCAACAGCCTCCCGATTGCCTTTGTTTCCTGAAGGCCTGGCCCGTGCAAATATAACATGGGGGCCAACATGTTAAATAGCCACCTTTCCCCCAGGAATCACATACTAATTCATGAACACAAAACACAAATATAATACGGAGGGATGGACATGGCCTCAGAAAATGATAAGCTGGATAAATGAGGCTCAGGGTATCTTATAATGCCTTTACTATGAAAATTAACTGATACAGCACTATCATGAATCTATTAATAACACATACATATAAATTTTTCTCTCAAGCAGTCTTTATTCCTTAAGTATATGATTATAAGATATGACATAACTAAAGTGGCAGCTGAGGTTTATGCCATCCAAATGGTATGCTGCATTGGTGGACTTAGTATATAGAATACTCCTACAGCCACTGAGCAGAGGGTCAACATAAACTCAGATTAAAATGAAGAAGAAAAAAGATAATTAAAGAAACACAGCACCAATTTCTAGGCATCTGTGACCATAAACTATCATGGGAGAGAAAAATCATGACATAATTCTGCACAAGCATCTTTCTATTAAACAATAAAGAGGCAAACAAGTATGAAAAGTTAAAATAAACTTTATAAATCTTGCCATTAAAATAGAAAACTCCAGGAACATGAAATATTACAACTCAAATACATGAGCTATTTATTTAATATGTGGATGTACAGTTGGAGTACATCAAAATTTTTTTATAATCACAGGAGAAAGCCTACACAATTTTTTTTAAACTACTGCACGTTTCAGATGGCAACATATTAAGATAAATATGCAGGCAGATACCCGAAGCATTAGAACACATTCAGAGTTCTCAATAGCACATGCATTTGTAATAAACAGAGAAAGCATTTAGAATTTGAATGCTTTTAAGATAGGGCAACTCCGCCAGGGACTGTGTTAGCAAAGCAATCCTTACCGCCATAGCACTTTCTAAGGACATGTTTTTGGTTTTGTTCTTTTTTTTCCCCCTCATTCAATCCAGTCTACACTCTTAAAGAAGCACAATTTGTGTAGCATATTGCTCTTTTTGTGTGTCAACCCTGTTTTTTGGCTTTGGCTGCAGGTGGCGTTTTCCATATATGGGTTTCTGGGAGTGTCGTCTGTGTTGGCCATGTACAGATTTCTATTCAGGCCATATGTTTTGCTGTCATGTGTCTCATGTTGTCTATCTGGGATGTCAGCACTGATTTCCACATCGTTTCTTGAATGGACCAAATACCAATTTGTAAGTGCAGGGAGGGGGGGAAAAAAAGCCAGGCTGGAGCCCAAACAAGTTTGTCAAAACATATGCTGGAGAGGAAATGCAATATCCTGTAA